TTGTGTGAATAAAACAACAACTGGCAGTAGTCTCAAATTCCTTGATGAGGGCATGATTGAACGTGAGGAAGATTGGACAGCTGGCTAAGTGATGTCAGTAGTTTCATCTTGTACTACGTCAGACCTGCAAGATAAAACTTGCCTTGGCAAGAAAATTTGTTCCTCGTTGTCGTCTTCTTATGTTCCACATAACAAATTAATTTGTCTTGGTAAATGAATTCTTCCTTAGTTATTTCCTGCATCATCACCACCAATAAACAACATTTTTCCTCAACAGCATCAAATTATTCAAATACACTTTGCCTTGGCAAAACTTATCAACCACATGCAAATATGTCCTAAATATAACTAAATGCAGCTAAAATGCTAAATCAATGGCTTTTAGGCACTCAATAACTTAAGTAAAAAGACACAAATTATCATCATTTTAAAGAGTTATAACACCCCCAAACTTAAGTTATTGCTTGTCCTCAAGCGATGGATATTAGCAATAGAAAAATAAAGTGCCACGACAAAGTATAAATTAGGACAATCAGATGGTTTAAAATTTCAGCCCTCAGCAATAAGTTTAGCCTCAACATGCTAGACTAAATATGAAGTCAATTACAAATTTCCTAAGTCAAGACTCTTTGACAGTATGTGTGCGTGATTGTATCTAGTCTATGCTTAATGAAATTAAAAAAAATCCTAAGTAATTTATTATATTTTTCTAAGGCATTAAGCACAGTTTCACTCTTTTTTATTCAACGTGTAACTTCAAATATATATATATATAGCACTGCTTCAAGGGGAGTCAACTCATCACACCTACCATCCCACACTCTAGGTGAAAGGGAGCATACCTTCCACCCCCAAGCTAGTCAGGTAGAGTCATCTCGTGACTGCTTTCATTTACCCGTGTGCTGAGGCAACCATTTATTTAAGGGAGATTCCTAGTCATGCCGTTGTAAAGAGGAGTGTCCCTCTACAGTTATGCAAAAACATTTATTTATAACACAACACAATTCAACACACTAAGGAGTTCAACTTAATCTTTTCAATTATTTAATGTCACGGCGCCTAAAAAGTTCTTTCCTAAAAATTTTCTAAGTACCTTAAGCAGAAAAAACATACAATCGTGTTAACAAGATCACAAATAGTCAAGTCCTAAGGTCAGTTTTATCCTTCAACAATCATGTAAATAAGTTTGGCCTAGGTAATAAAAAATTTCTTTTATCATCGGACATCCTCAACTTATTCCAAACAACTATCCTAACATAACTCATGCCATGACAAAAACTATTTCTACCAATCAATATCAATGCAAGTAACTAAGTGTGAAGTAGAACACCTCCCCCAAACTTGAAGGATGCATTGTCCTCAATGCATGAAAAAGGTAAAGTAATTACTATAAAATGCAATGTCAAATGCAAAATGGTACCTTATTGTGGTGGGGTAGTTCTGCTGGATGCTCGGGTGCGGCGTCTTTAGAGAGAAGAAGGGCTGGCAAATCATGTTTCTTCGGATGGGAGCGATGATGGAGATGGCATAACAATACGACCAACTGAGCGCTTAATGTGATGCCGAGTCCTAGGAAGAATGTCTGGTGGTGGCATCTCATTGGTTCGAGAGGTCTCAACATGTGCATATAAGGGTTGGCTAGCTTCAGTTACAACAACCAGTTCTTTGTTCAAATTTATTGGTTGTGTAGGAGCTTGTTAAGTGGTTGGCTTTTCATCAACGAGTTCAGTAAAAATTGTTGTCGGGACAAAGTTTTCTTCTTCGAAAAAATTCTGACGAAATTTCTTGAGTGTGCTCTGAATATGAATAGGTCGATCTGAGGTACTCATCCGTCTAGCCTTAGCCAACTATATGGATTGGAGAGTTATGTGTGGTGAGAGGGGTGAAATCAATTGGGAATTTGGGTTAAACATTTTGTGCTGAGGTAAAAAATGGGATACCACCAGTGGGCACTGACTTGCATAATATTTCCACAAGAAAAGGCAGTAGGTCATTATTGGTAACTGGTAACAGTTTCTTGAAGAAGGCGTTCAAATGTGCATCTATTTCCTTGAAATAACTAAAGAATGCCTGCATGTGACCTTCCAAGCATTCTAGTCGCTCCCTCATCTTTTGAGTATTGGTGACCACAACCGCCATTCTTATCGCGGCTACAGATTTTGTACTTCGTTCTAATCCCTCGCCTAGAGCATTATCATCAAAACCCATTAGCTTAGGTACCTTCTTCTTGGTGATGCCCTCCTTGGATTTGATGAACTCTTCCATAGGATCCTTGGGGACCTTCTTCTTCATATAGAGAGCTGTAATTAGATTAGGAAAAAATAGCTACCTTTCGCTCATTTTGCGCACTCATGGACTTGTTCAAAGATAATTTTACCCACATCAATTGATCATCCATAGATGATAGAATGAAGCAAAAATAATCCCTGTAACAACACAGTTGTGTTGTGAGACATGGGCATCAGCTTGCCTTTCAAGAAGTGGTTCCATAGTTTCGTTACCAACTTGAGGGTGTGACGATCGACACGCTTCTAGTTGGGGATGTTCCCTTCAAATTTTGCCCAGCCAAAACATAAGTCTTCCAATAGACCATAATAAGTTTCAGAGTCGACTTCGGTAAGGAATTTCTTATGGTGGTTCTCAACTTACCGAGTTTAAAATAGCAGTTTATGGTAGTGGGAGTGAATCGGATGAACTTCCCTCGAATATAAACAGAGTACTGGGAAGGGTTTCCCAGATACGCATAGAACTCCTTGACCAATGCTTGTGCCACCCCTTTCAGGTGTCGGGGAAACTTCTCCCAGTTGTGCTGTCGGATGATGTACATCACCTCAGGCCCAAAAAGTTCCTCGTTGGCCTCAGGGAATACAAAATCATCTTTCATCTAGACTTAGCGTTGCTGGAACACTGTAAACATTTTCTCAGCCTAAGCAGTTTGGAAGCGCTGGAAGTTTGTTACAGCTGTGGACGAGGTGGAAGCACCAGGGTTTGACTTGGATCGAGCCATGATAGGTTTAATGGAGAGAACAAGGATTTTGGTCAGCAACAATGGAGGTTTTTAGGGAAAGATGGAAAATCAAAGGCAAAAGAAAAGATGAAGAAGAAAGTGAGTGAAAGATAAATGGTGAAAGAGAAGAGTAAAGTAGGAAGTTTTGGAGAAAATGGTGGGTTAGTGGGCGGTTTTTTGGGGGTAAATAAATAAAAAGTGAAAAGGAAGATAAAGTAATTACTACAAAAGATTTTTTATGGGATAAAAAGGAATAAAATAATTAAGGGAAAAGATTTTTCCCTCTCAAAAGTGTCGCCCAAATAGTTTATTAGGGTTTTGCTTCCCTTCATGTATGAGTTTTAGCCATATGCTGCCACGTGTACAAAGACCAAAAAAGATAATATTAGAAAATAAAATAAAAATAAAACGCTCGTGCAGAATAAGATAAAGAAAAATTATTTATGTACAGAATGCAAATTATGTTTCATAGGCAACAAAAATTGTTCAGGGAAGAGGAACAAACTTTTGAACGTCGTAGAGTAGTGACACCGATTTATCTTGTAGGATTGGTGCTTCATTGTACGGCTTCAATCTTTGATCATTGACCTTAAAATTTATCCCATCATCTATGTTTGTGATTTCAATTATGCCTTGGCTATGCACTTGATGTACTATTAACAGTTCTGACCACATAGACTTTAGCTTTCCTATGAACAACTTGAGCCTTGAATTATAGAGCAATACTTGTTGGCCCGAAAAGAATTACCGAGGCAAAATTTTTCTGTCTTGCCACTTCTTCATCTTTTCTTTGTAAATATGGACATTCTCATAAACTTGAGCTCTAAATTCGACCATCTCGTTTAACTCTAACAATCGCCTTTCCCTAGCAAGCTACACATCCATATTAAATTTATTGATTGTCTAGAATGCCTTGTGTTCTAGTTCCACAGGCAAGTGGCATGCCTTACCATAGACTAACTTGAATGGACACATCCCGAGTAGCATTTTAAATGTTGTACGATACACCCACAATGCCTCACCGAGCTTTGGCGACCAATCTTTCCATTTTGCGTTGACCACATTCTCAAGGATCTGCTTGATCTCTCGGTTGGAAACCTCAGCCTACTCATTTGTCTGGGGATGGTATGCCATGGCAATTTTATAGTTCCTCCGTACCTTTACAGCTCCTTGGCAATTAATTTATTGTCAAAGTGAGTACCTTCATCGTTGATAATTTCTCGTGGTGCTCCAAAACAAGTGAATATATTTTTGTGCTATAATTTCAGTACAGTCTTGGAATCATTACATGGTGTTGCCACGGCTTCAACCCATTTGGACACATTGTCCACAGCTAAAAGTATGTATAGATCGCTGAAGGATGACGGGAATGGTCCCATAAAATTGATTCCCCATGCATAAAATAGTTCAACCTCTAAAATATTTTGGCATGACATCTCATTTCTCTTCGATATATTTCCAGTGCGTTGGCAATGGTCACGTGACTTATAGAAGTCGTGCACATCCTTGAATAAGGTGGGCCAGTAGAAGCTAGATTATAGGACCTTTGCAGTAGTCTGCATTCCACCAAAGTGCCCTCCACACGGGGATGTATGACAATGAAAAAGGATCTCCTTGTGTTCTTTTTTGGGGACGCACCTCCAGATTATTTGGTCGTCACATTGTTTGAATAAGAATGATTCATCCCAATAATAGTGGCGTATATCATGTTGGAACTTTTTTAAGCCCTGGTTAGATATATCTAGAGGTATAATACCACTAACAAGAAAGTTAACTATGTCAGCGTACCAAGGTACTACCGTGACAAATAAAATCTTCTCATCAGGAAAATCCTCCTGAATATGCTTCATGACATGGAAAATGTTTTTGTTCTCTAGCTTAGACAAGTGATTTGCTACTTGGTTTTCAGTATCTTTCCTATCTTTCACTTCTAGATCGAATTCTTGCAACGAGAGTATTAATATAATAAGCCTAGGCTTTGTATCCTTTTTATTTACAGGTACTTAATGACAGAGTGATCAGTATGTACAATGACCTTAGTTCCTATAAGGTATGCCCTAAACTTATCAAAAGCAAATACTATAACAAGTAATTATTTTTCAGTGGTGGTATAATTAAGTTGTGCATCATTAAGGGTGCGTCTAGCATAATAGATGAAATGGAAGATTTACCTTTTCTTTGCCCTAGCATTTCCCCTACAACGTAGTCACTTCCATCGAACATCAACTCGAATGAGGCATCCCAGTCAGGTGGAAAAATAATTGGTGTCAAAGCAAGTTTTCTCTTCAGGTCCGTGAGTGCACTGTGACATTCCTCATTGAACGCGAGCGACTGATTTTGCTGTAGTAGAAGACATAAAGGCTTTGAAATCTTCGAAAAATCCTTGATGAAACGCATGTATAATCCTGCATGCCCTTGGAAACTTCTTATGCCCTTCACAGTAATGGGTGGAGGCAGATTCTCAATTACTTCCACCTTGGCTTTATCAATCCCAATGCCTTGACGATAAATTTTGTGTCTCAACACAATTTCTTCTGTTACCATAAAGTGACATTGTTTTCCAGTTTAGCACAAGGTTGGACTCCTCATATCGTTTCAACACTTTAGATAAATTGCCTAGGCATCGGTCAAAGTCATCACCCGAGACTGAAAATCATTCATAAATATTTCCAAGAAGTCCTCCACTAGGTCTGAAAAATGGCTACCGTGCACATCTGAAAAGTTGTAGGGGCATTACATAGTCCAAACGACATCCTCTAAAAGGCATAGGTGCCATATAGGTAGGTGGAGGTGGTCTTCTCCTGATCTTCAGGTGCTATGGCGATCTAATTATACCCAGAATATTCATCAAGGAAATAGTAAAATGCATTGCCTGCTAACCGATCAAGCATGATCGATGAAAGGAAGGGGGAAGTGGTTTTCTTTGTCACATTGTTGAGCTTTCTATAATCCATACAAATCCGCCAGCTTGTGACAATTCGTGTAGTCAAAAGCTCATCATTCTCGTTCTTTATTAGGGTCACGCCACCCTTCTTCGGTACATATTGAACTAGACTGACCTAAGAGCTATCAGATATGTGATAGATCACCCTAACATCGATCCATTTGATGATTTCCTTCATCATCACTTTTTTCATTATACGAATAAGTCTCATTTGGTGTTCCACAAAATTGCTATGACACTCGTTTAGCCAGATCTTGTGCATGCATATGGTAGGGATGATTCCCTTCAAGTCTGTCATAGTCCACTCGAGAGCTTTTTTGTGCTGTGAAAAAATATTCAACAAACTACCCTCTTGCTCGGGGGTTAGACTAGCATAAATTATAATTGGTAAAGTATCATCACTTCCTAGATAAACATATTTTAAATGTGATGGAAAATGTTTAAGATATAAGGTAGGTGCATGCTGTAGCGAAGGTTTTGGAGGAATAAATTCATTAAAGTCAAGGGGTTCAAATCTCATACTTGGTCTAGCTTAAGTAAGCTATATTGTTCCTCCTCCAATGAATAATCCTCGAATTTCGCATTTGTTTTATCTTCAGCAAATCTTTTATTTGCCTCAATCAAACAAATTTTGCCTAGGCAAATATTTTTGTATACCTCTTTATGAAAAATTCACCTGGGTCAAAATTATTGTGTCCCTCTGACTGTAAAATATCGTTGTGGCGAAAGGTCTTACGCTTCTCTATATGATAAATATTATCTTAGCACAGAGTATCATACTCATTCAGATGTAAAAATTTTATGTTTCATCTTTTTCATTTGACTCCATATCTCCAATGCAATGTCATTCTTCAGCATCATTAACATATTTAAGATTGTTGAAAACATTGATAGTGACATTTTGATCAGTCGCCCGCATTATGAACTATCTTTTTTCATAGTCTATTAGGATGCGTCCAGTAGCTAAGAAGGGATGCCCAAGAATAATAGGTTCATTTTTATACTAATGTATTTTCCTCTTACTTATTTATGATTTATAAAGGAAATTTATGTGGTACTCTTAATGAACCATTAATTAAATTACAACTTGACTTCATAATTTTTCATTATTAAGACAATTAAATAGTCGATCAAGCATTGAAAGAGTGTTGTGGGTGTTAATATTTCCCCTAACGTAATCGATTCCCGAATTTATTTTTTCGGCAAATAGATCATAAATTGTTATTTTAATTTTATTATAATAACAAATTTTTTTGTAATCCAATCACATCCTAACGAAAAGTGACGACAACTCTTTGAATCATGTATTAAAATTCATTGAATCAAACTTTGAAAGATGATTACTTTTCTGTTCATTGAATCATATATTACTTTTTTTCTTCATTATTTATCATTTCAGATTGTAACTTCTGTTTATATTAATCTAAATTCCGATACACTTATTTCATTAGAAAAAAGCTTGACAATCTAAATTATTAATTGCTACTCTTTCTTTTTGTACTTTTTTGTGCATGTTTTCTTCTTATAATCGTTTGAAGAATTATTTTAGATAGCAAACATGTTGATGATTTTTTTTTGAAGGAAAATTTATATACTTTACGAGGAGCATTCGATCGAGTCGAGTCAAAAAAAATTTTGAGTTATTCGAGTTGACAAGTCCTATTTTATAACTCAGAGTTGACTTAAAATTTTTTCGAGTCGCGTAAAGTTTATATAATTCGAGTCAAGTCGAGCCGGATCAAATTTTGGAATTTCTATTTAAATTTAATTGTAAATATTTACAATATTGTGACATCATTTGATTCTTATTTAAATAATATTTTATAATCATATACAATATATATATATATATATATATATATTATATTTTTTTCATATGTGATTTACATATACCATACAAAGTCGAGGGACTTGACTCAAGCTTCGACTCAAACTTGAAAATCAATCTACTAATTATTAGTAAAAAATTCAAGTTATTCGAGTTATATTTTACAACTCGATTTGAACTTGAAATTTTTTCGAGTTAAGTCGAGTTTATAAAATTACAACTCAAAGTCAATTTGAGTTGAGTAAAAAAAAATTAATTTTTTAAGTCGAGTCGAGTTTTTCTCACCCCTATTATACTCAATATTTTCTGTTGATGAAGTATATAAATAATTGATCAAAAAACGTAAATGGTTGAACATCACATTAACTGTTTCATATTTTAACTTAAAATCAGGCATTTTCACTTGCATGAAGGCACACTTTTATTTGTTAATTATTCAAATGAAATAATTGCTTTTCTGTACAAAGCAAGTGAAAAACAGTTAGTAATCTGAATTCATTGAGTTGATGTTGTTGGATAAAGATCAAGGCTACTATACCGAAGTTTAAACAAATATTTGCTATGTTAGCAGATTAGAGTTATTTAAGAAAGGTGGAAGATTAGATGTAGATGTGCTAATAGTTTGTTTCTTATAATTTGTTTCAAACTGATTAGGGGTATAAATGAACAAAATGTTAAGTGAATTGTTCGTATAACTTTTGTTTATTTTTGTTTGCTAAGCTAAATAAACGAGTATGAACAAAATTTTTATATTCATTTAATTAATAAACAAACAAACACAAACAAATGTGTGTTTGGTTCGTTTATATTCACGAACAAGCTTGTTTATAAGCTCATTTATGAGCTCGTTTATCGTCTCGTTCATTTATGTTCATGAACAAGCTCATTTACTTGGTTCTCATTTTCCATTTATTTTTTTTATATTTTAAATATTGTGAAGGTAGTGACTAAATTGAGTATATGGTAAAATTTAGAGTTTGAATTGTAAATTTTAAGAAGTTTAAGCACTAATAGTGTAATTATACCATTTTTCTTTAGCATGTAAATGAAAGGGTAAAAGCTTAAAATTAAACGTATAAATGAATGCTAAAAGAACATGTTTATGAACATATTCGCAAACATTAAATGAACATGTTTATGAACAATAAATAAACGAACACGAACAAGATATTAAAAATTTAAACGAACATGAACACAAAATTATTCATTCAAGTTTGATTTATTTACGCCCCTACAAGTGATTGAGGTTTGAAAGAACATGCTTGTGTAGCTAATGATGATAAGTGTACTTCTGTCTTATTTTATGTATTTTACTGATTGCGAAGGGAATTTGAATTTATTTGCGGTTCCGTATCTGTGCAACATAGTTGTGTTATCAGATAATACATATGCCAAACCATTTGTCTTACTAAACCACTTGATTTAAAATCAGAAATCTGTAGAACTCACTTCCAAAGAACTGTTAACAAAGTTCCTTTTGCCTCATTGTTGAGGTCATTTAGGGAATGAAGTCAATTGAGAAATTTCCATAAAAAGGATATCAAGAACTTGGCTGTTAATAACCATTGGTTATTGTACTGCTTAAGGGATGATTTATGTATTAACAAAGCTTATTTTTCTGTTCACCGTTAAATAAGCTCGTAAATGGATGCTGATCTTTATGTTGTGCTATGTTTAGATTTAATTCAAGTTTAATTTTGCCTCAAAAGCAGTGCTGCTTGCTTTCTTATTTGTTCTCATCTTTGATGTCCCCTCTGATATTTTCGGCTATGGGGGGACTACAAGGTGTTAGAAATAAGTTGTAATTAGATGTTAGTTTGTTAATCTGTTTTGAGTTGTTATTGGATTGTTATATTTGGACTATAAAATATCCAAGTTTGGTTTGTAATTGATACAAGTCATAGTTACAATAAAAATACTTTTAGTTCTTTCCTTTCACTTTCTTATTTCCTGAATCTAAATCTAAACAACCACAACCGCCGTTCTCCAACTCAGGCCAACGGACTTTCATCACTCTCAGCCTTCATGGCTGCTTTCTCACATGATATCATTCGCCAAAGATCCCAACGTCATCTTTCTTCCACTGTTTTTGTTCCGTTCTTTGACCGGGTTACTCAATCGCTTCAAAGTTTCCTCTATCGCTTCCTTCTTAGTCGACGATCGATGCTTCCTTCATCGCAAGTCTCACACGCACTACCGGTTACGCAGTCTGGCCGCTGACCGCTCTCCATTTCATGCATTTTCTACATCCACATTTACCGCTATTTTCTTCACTCGTGAGCTTCATCTGCGCCGTTGAGAGATCTAATATCTCGAGCTTGTTGTTTCATTGGCCATCGTTTACCTTTGTTGGCATGTATTTTTTGTTCCGTTTTAGTCCTTATGGATTGGAACTGTTTTTCTATTTACTGAACCATATTAGAGTCTCGCTCACTGCTATGGCTTCCACTATCATCGTTCGCTGTGTTTGGTTACTGTGGTAAGATCTCACTTTGTTCATTTGTGAAATCACATTTGGTGAATATGCGATTCATTGTTTTTTGATCCATTCTTAGTTGCAAACAAAAAGAAGAAAAAGAAAAAGAAAAGGGGCAATAACTACTATTTCTAATGGTGACTTATGATTCTGTGACGTTTGGTACAAGGTTGAATTCAAATGGGCGTTTACTTACTATTCACGCATATGTGATTGGTTATACAAAGTTAGGCAGAAGGTTATGCGGGTTGACTTGTGAATATTGTTATCTTGTGCATGAGTGAGGTCAAGTTAGA